ACAATGTTTAATATGAGAAAACAAAAATTGAAGAAGTACCATGAACACTGGGCATGAGGCGGGAATACACCCTGGATGGGACACCAATCCATTTTAGGGCAGCATGCAAACACACACACACACACACACACACACACACACACACACACACATTTTTTTACATTTACATTTATGGCATTTGGCAGAGGCCCTTATCCAGAACTATCCAGACTTACAGAAGTGCTTTGAAGTCTCTATCAATAAATACATTCTAATACTGGCTCACTAGGTCATGGACTAAGAGTACTGTCAGTCTAAGAATCTCTGTTGGAGAGGTAATATAGTATGAAAAACACACAGACAACACAAAGTTGGTTTTTTTTTCTTAAGTGCTAAATTAAGTACTTTACGAAGATGTAGGTCTTTAGACGTTGTTTGAAGACTGCCAGTGGCTCAGCTGTTCGGAAATCTAGTGGAAGTTCTTTCCACCACCTAGGTGCCAGAACAGAGAAGAGTCCTGATGCATGCCTTCCTTGTACCCTGACAGATGGTGGGACCAGTCAAGCAGTGCTAGAGAATCAGAGGGAGCGTTGTGCAGTACTGGTCCGTTTTTGGCTTTGTAGGCAAGCAGGGGTGTTTTAAATCTGATGTGGGCAGCTACAGGAAGTCAGTGAAGGGAGTGCAGCAATGGGGTGGTGTGGAGAGAATTTAGGAAGGTTGAAAACCAGTCGTGCAGCTACAAACACACACAAACAGACATTCTCACATTTAGGGGCAATTTATCTTATAGAACTTTTAGAAATAAGCATTATCACACAGAATCTACGTGAATCCAGATGAGTAAAGATACCACTGAAATGTTGTTTAAGGGATTATTGGCAAGAATTTGCTAAAAAAAATGCAGCTAAACATAATCTGTAAGTCATATTAAGTGAAGTCAATAATCAGGGGTGGTTAAACTCTCTAAATTCTTTACCCAATTACTCATCTAAACAAATACTCTGGTAAAAGTCGAAGTACACCTACAGATTCTACACTTAAGTATAAACTCTTGAATTTCCTTAAAGTATGAAAGTAAAAGTACAAGAAAAATTCACAATTCATTCAGTACAAGAAAGTTACTGATGGTAAATTAGTGCCACTTTGACCAAGGAACCAAGCAATGTGGGAAAACACTAGCTAAAGCTAACTAACAACAGCTTTATTCCTAATCTCACAAATGGTAGCTAACATGACAACAACTCTGATGATAGATACTAGCTGAATGCTAATAGCTAGCTGTCATAATACAAACTGCCGTAATAAATACAAAGTGTAAATAGGAGCAGAGAAATTACAGTGATGGGTCTGATGATTAAAAAAAGACACCTTATGACTTTACACATAGTGTATATGATTATCAAGAAACATAGGGATGTGTTTGAAGATGTATTGAAGAGAAAGTGGAGATTATTTTAATGTAGTACGTAAAAAAAACAGTATTCAGTGAAAGACAAAATTCAAGTAACAATACTTAAAAATCAGACCTAATTACAGTAAGAAAGTAATTTTAGTTTTTTTATTTCCCACCTCTGTTAATAATTCAGTAAACCAGTGCTTGCTGCTAGCAGTCCCAAATGATAACGCAATCCAGACAGTCCCAAATGATAACGCAATCCAGTAATAAATTCATTTCCAAGTTTATAAGTTTTCAGGAAACTTCCAAGAGATATCCAAATGCTTTCTTTTCTTACTACAAGTCATCTTCAGATTGGAGACTAATCGAAATCTTCCCAGGGTTTTGGCTCAGATCAGCTTTTCTTAGCAGGAAAGTCCTAATCTAATCCCTGCATCCTTGCACGCCAGAGGGAAACTTGCTGACTAGCAGTGTTCAGCTGGGTAAATTGCAACATTCAAATTATAAAACAACAGGAGGATGTGATCATAACCAGAACAAATGTACTCCACTGCAGCTACTCAATAAAATACTACTTTAAGCACTATGGATAGCTAATTAAAAGCAGTAAACACTGAGTAAGCTCATGTTACAGAATGCTTTGGCTAAACATTCTGATTGCTATCAATATAAATATCCCCTTTGGAGAAATGTCAACTGTCTGTGTTTCAGAAAAGTATATTAACTAATTAGGAAACATCTTAGCAAAGAGGCTGTACAGGGAATGCATATATAAACAGGTATATAAACAGGAAGCAGGAAGTGCTAGCTTGGTGGAGTAGGAGATAAGCCTGGGATTATGCTCAGAATAAATATAGGAAAATAATCAACACATGATGTGATCTTTACCACCCTGAAGTTCTTATAACAGCATCTCCTGAAGTGTTTTATTCCTCTTATACTACAGCAAGTTGCCAATGCTGACAATTGTTATTAATTTAACAACAGCACCTTGTACCTTTTATTCGTTTATATTTACCTTTAATGTTGTGGAACGTCTGAGAAGTTAGTTCCTGTTATCACTTACTTTAGAATAGCTATGAAGAGTCATTCTGTGAAGTGGTGGAGTGGTAGAGATTGTTGATGTTCAACCAAAGGGTTCGGTTTCCACCATCATACTTTCAGGATTTATTTTCAACTGTTAGTGCTCACATCCCAGACATTACATAGTGAAGCTCCTGAATATATTTCAGAATTGCTGTCTTTTTGTAATTATGTGTCTCATAGGTGCTCCAACAACGAGTTCCTGTCTATCCCAAGCTAAAGGGAAAAGGGAGTCTGTGCATTTGCTGTCTGTGTTCCTACTCTTTGGAATAATTTCCCTGTGACATTAAGTTATCAGATTTATTAAGCATTTTTAAGAAACCCATTTTACAATCTCGCTTTAACTAGCAGCTTTTACTCTCACTGTTTAATGTATATTTTTATTGCACCATTGCTCTTTATTTTATTGTTTTATGATTGGAGTTTATTGTAGCTATGGTTTAGAAAATTCTTTACGAATAAAGATCACTTAGTTAGTAAAGATTACTTACTTCTGGAGACTCCTGAGAGATTTGCTTGATAACTGATACTGATTTTTCTTTGTTTCTCATTTACAGGCACTTATTTTGCCTCATGGGTTCTGTTGTAATCTGTTATCTTCTGTAAGGGGAACATTATAACATACATGGCATAATTAATAGACAAGAAATGACATTCAGAAGTGTTTTGTTGAGTGTTGGTTGCTTGAATGTAGTGCATAAGAGTCCTATTGTGGCTGAAGACCTTTGATCCATCCAGTAGTTATAAATGAACTCAGTGTTGAATTTCAAAGTTTCTTGATAGGGAATCAAGCGCATAACTACTTGTGTAACATTTTTGTCTTCTGTATCATAATGTGGCATCGCTATATCATTTGGATGTTGGGAACTGGAGGGAGGTGGTGGAAGTTAGCAAGATCATCAATGCTACCAGCAAATTTAAGTAATACAAAATATTAAATTTAAAATATTTGACTTTGGAAAATTCCATTGCATACTGCAGCTTGAGGTGAATAAAGACACTCACTATTCAGGAAAGATGATGGCAGTGTCATGGAGAGAGAAAGAACTGATGAATAAGATGTGTGTGGCTTCCTAGCCCCAGGCTGAAAAGTTCCCTCTGAATTGCACAAGCCGAAACAGATGTGATGTTTCACTGTGAGCACGTAAATGTAGTAATTTCCCCAGCAGGGAGATTATGCGAGTAAGCTGGTCAAAACAAATATTAAGCCATAAGCACAGCTTGTGATTTATTTGTTGCTACATAAGAACTTAAATGAACTTAAACTCTAAACAAGTAAAAGTAGAAACAGAATAAATGAGAAAGTAATTACTCTTTAGATTAGCATGAGGATATTATTTATTTTTTTATACATATATATTCTACTTATAAGCACAGACTTTTTCCACCAGTTTATGTATTTTGTGTTCTGGATAAGTGTTTTCTAATTGTTTTATTTTATTATTGAGCAAATTACTATCTATGTGATCAGTTTCCAATTTCAGAGATCTGCAAAGTGCTGACTGTGGAAATGTGCTTCAAGAAACTCAGAATGAGGAAGTTCTACTTTTCCTGTTTCTTAAGTTGGAATTATTTTGCACTGACCTGTGATCAGCAAGAATAAAATGAGCTCTAAAAACATGTTTCCCATCGATCAATAAAATGCATCTTATTTTGTTGTGTAACTGTTGATTTGGAGAAACTGGGATATCAGGAGAAAAAATAATGGCATAACAAGCCCTTCTGAACTATTTAGGAAAGGTCAAATCTAGGTAAACCCTATAATATAGGAAAATAAGTGTGGCGTGTGTCTACAGGTTACCCTCTCCTGGTTGTCGAAACATGCTACGTCCATTCTGAATGCTCTAAAAGACTTTTTTATGATGGAAATGTTGATACACACATATAATGGCACTATCAGGTCAGCTTGGCCTGCTGTATACTTTATGTTCAAACTGTTTTTTCTAAATAAAAGTGCATTTAACTTAATGACTTGTGGGGGAAAAAAGAGCAGATAATCATGGGGTCACGACTGGGACAAACATGTCTGATCGCGTCTTTCTGCTAGTGTGTCTCATTCAGTGTGATTAGAGTCCATTCCCTCTGATTCACTAATATTGAACCCATTCATTTTACAGCACTTAGGCCTCTGTGAGCATTATTGCATGTGATGATTGCTTCTTAGGCACCTTCTTAAGGTTCCTGCTATATGTATTAAATGGCTCAAATAAATTGATTCAGTCATGCATCAGGTGCAAATGGTAATGTGTTAGAAATGCCATTAAAATTTACTATCACATTAAATTATACGCATCTATTAATGCCAATACGAGAAACCAGAGGAGGTTGTAAATCACACCACATTAACATAGTCGGTGTATACCGTTTCGCAAAGCAAGGTATGAGTGATTGTTTTGTTTTTATATTATGGCGCATATTTCTGTAAACGTTGTTCTGTAAATATTTAATTACTTTTATTATATTAATGCTATTTTACTGTATGTTCAGGTCCATTCAGTTTTAAATTAGTATAGGTTATTTTAACATGCTGTCTGAGTAATGTGGATCTGTAGCACAATGGATAGCCCTTTGGACTTCATGGCAAGCTGAAGGTGGTGGGTTCGAGTCCCACCAGAGTTGTTTGCTTTCAGACGTGTGTTGCATGTCAGTTTCTTGTGGTTAAGAGCTCACTGGTTAAGCTATTGGCCTACTGATCAGAAGGTCATGAGTTCAAATCCCAGCGCTGTCATTGTTGGGCCCTTTAGCAAGGCCCCTAACCATCAATTGCTCAGTTGTATAAATGAGATAAATGTAAGCTGCTCTGGATAAGGGTGTCTGCCAAATGCTGGAAATGTAACATTCATCTATCATGACTGTTCACAAATATAATTTCTTATCATGGTGATGTAGAAAGCAAATAATTGTTGAAAACTAGTTTGAAAAAAGTACCAGGGCAAGAGTACAGTTGTTTGCCCAGCAGAATTGCTCACTGGCCTATGCAGTCAATGCCATTAAACTGAATAAAAGAGAATTTTAAGATCCCTCACTGTGTTACAGTCAATATCCACTGAATAGGAGCACATCTCACAGAGTCTGTGGGCTCAGTGTGGAAGCAGGCCCATTAAAACACAGCTCTCCTGCTGTTTCCCAGTCTGCCCAGCAACAGATCATCCAGGAGATATGGGAGCAGGAAAGATGGGGTGGCACAGCTTTAGGCAAGAAAAAGATGAACATTTAAGATTTATCAGGACTGAGAATAAGGGTGTGCATTTGTCAACCAGGGTTGTATCATATTCGAGATACCACATTTTTATCTCTATTTCACAATTCCTCCCCATCCCTGGACTTAAATCAGGCCGATGGCTAGAATCAGCCAAGCCAATCTGTCATTTCAAACCTCTGAATGTAAACTCGGGTGTGTTGGTCAAGGTGAAGGGTTCTGACATGATGAGGAAATGCTGGCAAGAAAGTAGAAAAAGCTAGAGATAAGAGTCAGATGATTACTTCATCCTGGCAATACAGAATTGGAATCCATAGAGGTGAACAGCAGGACACAATATGATTCCATAGCTTTCAGGACAGGAGTGAATATCTGCTGTAAAATATCCTGTAACTGGGTTTAAGCGAATGTTTATAGAAAGTCATTGTGCATTGTGAGCTGCTTTAAGAAAGATTTTATTCAAATACATTATTAAAGTTGTTCAAAGTCATTGGTCTTTCTTTTTTTTCTTGAGACTATGAACATACTGTTGTATAAACTTTGATGTGATTTTATACCACAGCACTGTTGAATTCTTGATTGTATAGAAGGTGTTAATTTTCTATAACAGCAGCTCTGAAAGTAGTTCAGCTGCAAGACAAATGACAGGTTTATATCAATACACTAGTTCCCATAGGTTTTCGTTTCTAAGGTAACAACTTACAGATGGACTTGTATGGCAGTATTCCACATAAACAGATTAAAAACATGTATAACTGTTTGTATGGAAAAGGTTATTTAGCATTTTTGGAAGAAGTCTCCAGTGTCAACACTTTCTGTACCTTCAAATTTACAGACACAAGAAAGTCTTCAAGATGGAGGGCTTTGCAGCTTCTCAGTAACATGACAAGCTGCATTTTCTTTGTCTTGTTAACTTCAAGAGAACAACTGTTTATAACTGCTATAATATAAGTGATAACTTTCAGCAACGTTAAATAAACAGATAAAAAATATGACTTTCTAATTAATCAATAAAAATCTGTAAATTGCCGTTTATGATGAGAGGAAAAAAAATACTCTGGTACCTGCTGTTATAGGAAACTACTCAGCTTCAGAGTGGTAACAGTAACACTGCTTCACATCAACCCACCATGTCAAATATTATTTTCCTATAACAGCACAACACTGGGTCTCAGTATAAATATGGGAAAACATTAAAGAATGTTTTCTATACTCTTCATATGTATGTTGTGTAATCTTTCTCTGAATGCTACACTGTACATATACATTCCCAGGGTACAAACATTGTAAATGTACTCTCATAGGCACATCATTGGTCTTTAAGGTTCAATTTATGTATATTGAGCTTTAAATGTACAGTACATTCTCTCAAGGTGCTCTAAAGCTATAAAAACATACCCTTGAGGACAACACCCAAAGGATGTTAATGCTTTTCTCTTTATATTGCAGAAGATATCATTTATTTACCGGGTAGTGAGATCATAATATTGATCAAGTTACCCATCTGTTAATTAATTAATATTTTTTCACCAGAAAGAAAATGTCTTCTTAGTGTTAGAGCTTTGTAGGTTTGACTTTTCGCTGTGAATCACACAGTGAAGGAATGCTTATATGTAGCTGGGCTTTTTGAGGGTATTTGTGTCCCAGGAAGGAATGATATGATAGTTTTATCAGAACCTAATATTATACAATATTAACAAACAAGCATTTAACGAGAATAACTTTTAGTTTGATTGAACCCAGAGCCAATAGCATCTGTTTTGATATCTCCTAATATATCATCTAGTTATGTTACCAGTCATCACTCTGAACATTACTTTATGCATTTAATTAATGTAATTAATGAATGTTAATAAAATAAAATAATTATAAAAAAATAATTAAAAATAAATTAATGAATATCAATGAAGTGAAATTAGTTAATTAAAATTATTAAAAAATTAATATTCATCATATTAATTCATATTAATATTAATTCATTTAACAATTTTATGTTATGTATTTGCATAAGACAGTAGGAAGTGAGGTAGCCTTCTTCGCATGACTGACGATCAAGTGATTAATTTCTCACTCCTTTCCTTTACAATCTTCACAACTAAATTAAAAATAGCTTTAAAGCCAGGTCGAGAGCTCGGTCACTTTAATTTTTCAACAAGTGCCAACGTTTCTTGCACTTATTAAGCAACTGCCACTGTCGAGTGACAAACTGGAATGAAAGAACGGCTTGGAAGCTGATTATTGTTAATTAACTTCTTCTGCTTTCTCTGGGTGAAGTCTGTAAAGGATTAGAGTGAAGAAAGAGAATAACAGTGGATTTAGCTTGTCACCTGCGTTTGGCAGCAGTTACATTTCTTTCAAGTGAGGCTTTGGCTTTTCTCATAAACTCTTTGGCAACACTTGATATGTGCAGACAGCTTCTAGGCAGAACTGTTTGAAGGTGCATTATATCTGAAAGGGGGTTGAGGAGATTAAGTGGAAAGGTTTCCTGAGAGAGAGAGAGAGAGAGAGAGAGAGAGAGAGGCAGAATTATGCAGAATTCTGAATCTCTTGTCATGTTCATACAACTCCAGCAGACCATGAACCAGTTTCACACTACCTGTGCATTCAGCCGTGACCTGGTGAATGACAATTGTAGCAAAGAGAAAGCTGATGAAAGGTAAACAGTACACCTCTATTGGCTCAAAGAATCATAATAGTCTTTCTTTTGGTTGATTCAACTGCCTGATGTGATGCCAGTGCCAGATCCTGACACACTTCTACTGCTGTGTCTCCTCTTGCCCTCTGGACCTGCCTGATTCATCCTGATGCTCTACTTTCTGCACTTGTAACTCGTCTTCTGCTGTTGAGGTATGTGCCACATGGATACTCTAAAGATTTGCACTTCCAAAAAATCTTTTATATTTTTATATCCAAATGTCCCCCTTGTTTCAGTAGATAATTTCACTTGCATACTGTGGAGTTGTACCTTCTAAGAACTGCTGCTGTAATTAACACTATATGGCCAAAAGTTTGTGGACACCTGACCATCACACTAATACAGTATGTGTTTCTTCCCCAAACCGTTGCCCCAAAGTTGGAAGCACACAATTGTCTGTAATGTCTTTGCATTGCAATTTCCCTTCATTGGAACTAAGGGGCCCAAACCTGTTCCAGCATGACAATGCCCCTGTTCACAAAGCTCCATTAAGACATGGTTTGCCAAGGTTGGAGTGGAAGATCTCAAATGGCCTGCACAGAGCCCTGACCTCAACCCCACTGAACACCTTTGGGATGAACCGGAGCACCGACTGCACCCCAGACCTCCTCACCCAACATCAGTGCCTGATCTCACTAATGCTCTTGTAGCTGAATGAACACAAATCCCCACAGTCACACTCCAAATCTAGTGCAAAGCCTTCCCAGAAGAGTGGAGGTTATTATAACTGCAAAGGGGGACTACAGTAAATCTGGAATAGGATGTTCAAAAAGCACATATGGCTGTGATGGTGCTATTAGACACCAGTGTCTCCCAGACCAAATTGGATGCCAGGGGCAAACTCTTCTGAAAACTCCACCCAGTCTGACGCAGATGGAGAAAAGCCTTAACCTCACGGGATGACCTACAGCCGTAAGGCCCAAGTGTCAATCTGTGTTAAACCTCCCAGGCCTCTGGCAGACGTGGGTTACCCTGAAATTAGTAAGGGCACCACCTCCTAGCACACCAGTGGGACAGATGGGGAGGTAAGAAGGAAATCTATTTCATCCCTGTCGTGTACCTCCTTGGGGTGGGGTGTAACCTTTGACCTCTGGATCTGAACAGGACCAGCTTTCAAATATTGCTCATTTTTACTCACTCTCTTTTCAAGGTATATGGATATTACCCATCTTCTGCTGTGTTGACAGGACTGAAGTCCAATCTTCAGTCTCAGTGGGTTGTATGTAATGGAAATATTCTCAGAAATGTCCTCTATGTGTCATGTGACATCTGAATGAGTGCTCAAAGGACATGTTATTTCGCATCACCTTAGGGCGCCAGTTTGACCTGTGACCTCTCGAACAGGAATAATGACAAGTAACAATAACACAGTGTGAGGCTCTGACCCAAAGCGCCAATCATCCTGACATGCATGTCATTTCAGGTTAAGGGATTTCACTGCGGTGTGATAGAACAGAGATATGCTGGAATAATAAACCCTATACGGAAGGAATCTTTTAGAAAAAAGCTGTCAAGATAAAGGTCTTGTCACACAAAAAAATAATTGACACACTGAAGGTACAACACCTTGATTCTCTGATAAAAAACTTTTTTTTACTTTAATTGTTGTAAACCAAGTTGTATTTTTGGAAATACCTTATATGCAAAGGGAACTATTTTATTATGGTTTTATACCACAGCGTTGTTGAATTCTCAATTCTAATTGGTCAGAAGGTGTTTCTGTAA